ATAGATATAGATATAGATATGCATGGCTAAATTTGGGGGTGGATTTTATTTTATATATTTATTCATATTTTTATATAAAGCAAATTTAAAATGAAAATGAAAAAAGATTCTTGATAGAGGGACTCTCATCAGCACAGTTCATTCTTTCATTGCAGGCAGTGACACAGGTCCCTGACAAGTCTGTGGACTGGCTGCCTCTGGGTCACGTGACAACCCCTGATCCAATCAGGAGTGTGAGTTCCTGTAAGGGGCCATGGTCGGGCTGTGGTCAGGGCAGTTTCACTGGGAGGACTTGTGAGAATACAGACATGACTATGGAAATGCCTAGGACTTTCCACCTCAGCCAAGGACGTAAACTTGGGAAATGCCTATGTTTCAGGGACACAGAGAGGAGATTTGAGGGAGGTTAAAAAGAGAACTAAAATAGCACAATGCAGAGAGCAAAGGAGCCAGTCAGGGGAGGAAATTAAATCAGAAGAAGCAAGCAATTTACCAAACAACTACTTTGTACAGGTGTTATTCTAGTGCTGGGGATATGGCCTTGAACAATACAGGCAAGCTCCTTAATTTTATGGAGCCTACAATCTGTCAGGTAGTGGGTAGGGGGTGGAGGAGGAATTGACATTAGTTAGGAGTCAGTTTAGCTGCAAATGACAGAAGACCCAGCATAACAATAGCTTAAGAAAGTTAGAATCTGATTTTCTCTCTCACATAGAAGTCCAGAGGGAGGTGACCCAGGGCTGGCAGGACCACATCATGACATTGTCAAGGATCCAGAATCCTATTATCTTGATACTCTGATGTCCTTGGCATGAGGCTTTCACCTCAGAGCCCAATATGGCTGCCCAAGTCCCAGCAATCACGTTCACATCCCTGCTGACAAGAAGAAGGAAAGAGGATAACATGAGTGCTCCCCCTCCTTCTAAGGACACTTCTACTTATATTTGATTGGCCATGTTGCTACACCTCACTGCCAGGGTCTGTTCTGGGGGGAGTCCATGTACCTGGCTGAAATTTGGTGGCCTGCTACTAGAGAAGAAGGAGAGAATGCATAGCGAGAGGTACATGTCTCTACCATAGGAAGAAGTCAGAAAATAAGCAAACAAAAATGTCACAGAGGGAAAAATGCTTTGATGGATAAAATCCTACGTGAAAGAAAGTAAGGGAAGATGGGGCTCCTCCAGAGGGCGTGGTCAGGAAGCATCTCTCCACAGAGGTGAGATTTTAGCTGCAACCTTTACAACCAGAAGGAGCCAGCCGTGGACATCTGGGAGAAGGATATTCCAGGCAGAGGGAAGAGGTAGGACAGACGCCTTGAGACGGGAGCAAGCCGGGTGTTGTCGAGGAATGAAGAACTCGTCGTGACTGTGCACACGGAGAAGCAGACACGGGGCTGTGTCCTAGGAGATCCTGGGTGGGCGGAACATGAATGGGGCTTATTAGCACTTTTTCCTGGAGGGTGTGTGTGTGTGTGTGTGTGAGAAACGGACAGACAGCAGATGGAAGCACTCTCTCACTCACTCAGGTATGTGTTCCTCTGTCCCAGACTTCCCAGAATCAAGATATCAAGTGAATGAACAGATTGGAGAGTCGGGGATGACAATTAATCCAGACCTATCAAGATAATTATAATAAAATTTCTGCTGCCTTGAGCTGTGTTCCCTCTTCCCCATCATCTCCCACTGGGATCCCATGAGATCTTTGCTGAATGGGGAACAGGGGATTTAGAGTGTCCATGGCATTGCAGGACCATCATCATATGTTCTGTTATACAACCTCTCTTTGGTCTTAGGCTGCCATAGGCTAGAAACTGAGACCTAAATGATTGTTCTGGTCCCAAGGCAGCCTGGCCAGAAGATGGAGGCCATTAAGAACCGCACAATCATTCCACTCGAGTTCAGGAGGTGCCCGACTCCAGTAAAGCCAAATTATTTTGCAGCTACTATGTAATTTAATTCTCACAGCATCCCAGGAATTGGGTGAATAGGTATTATTCCCATCATACAGGTAGAAAAAGGAATTGAAATACAGGAAAAGTAATTGGTTGACCTAAGGCGAATACGCAAGTCAATAGCTGCACAAGACTCGTGAACCTCTGTTAAAAGTGCTTTGTCTGCTGGACCACACAGCCTCCTGAACAGGGTGGCTCCTGCTTGAGCCAAAAGTCCTTGCTCTGTTTCCTGCTAGGGTGACTTGTCATCCCAGTTTGCCCAGCGCTGGGAGGCCTCCCAGGCAGGGGAGTCCGGGGCAAAGTGGGACAGCTGGTCCCTCTGTGGAACAGAGCGGGGGCATCTAACAAAGTACTTAATTAAGCAAGAGCAGCTGCGGTGGGTGAAGAGGAAACTGGTCTCAAAGCCAAATAAGACTTTTCTCTGACACTTTATAATTTGCTTTGAAAACTGTATAGCTCATAAAGATAAGACTCTTCATGTCAAGAGAGATTTTTTTTCCCCAAAAAGGTGAGTTCAGAGTGAGTTCAACCAAGCTTTCCTTTCCCTGGGCTCAGCCTGAATGGCCCTGCAGCTGCCCTGGCGGGCTTCCATTCCACCTCTCCCTTAGGAACATGCTGTGTGGGTCAATGCAAGGTGCGCCAAATATGGAAACCAACAAGATGGTTAGAGAAGCCATGGAAATGACACTGCTGAGTTCACACACAAAATTCAGGGTTGAGCTCATGACTGGGGTCGGGAGGCCCTGCTGTGAAGTCCTGGCGATGGGCGTTCACAAAGTCATAGGAGGAGAAGACAGGACAGGGCTGGCAGGCTCTGTTGAACAGTAGATCGTTGTGAATGTGAAATTCTCTGGCGCCCAGTTTGCCTCTGAAATTGTGGTTGACCCTCTGGGAGACATCTTTCCTTTTGATCAGCTGGAGAAAAGGAGGAGAGATGAACGCCCACTCCTCCCAGGAACCAAGGCCCCTGACCCACCTTTGGTCTGCGGGAGTCTGTGTCATCCTAGAAAGCAAAGTGCTGTGGGGTGACTGCCACCCCATAGGTCGCCAGCGGGCTTGCATCTTTGTTTTCTTTTCCCTTTCTCTAGGGGAGGCCTCACCGAACCTTCCTCCCAGCTACATGAGCTAACTTCATGGTGTGTCTCTGACCTTGGGAACCTGAGGCATAGCCATAGTGTGGAAAGGGTGAAACAGGTAGGCTGGGGGTTCTGATTTACACCAGGGAGAGCAACATTCAAAGGAGAATTTCCAGTGAGAGAGCTTTATTTTGAGGCTACACTGAGATCTCACTCCCCTCCTGTTTACGGCCGGGTCAAAGGGTGGGGGAGGGGGAGAGCTGAAGGGTCCCATTAAAATCTTGGCTGGCAGGGAGCAAAATAAAGCCTGTTACCTCGCTGGGTACGTGGAATTTTAGCCCAAGGATGAAAGGATGTGGATGTGAAGTAGATCCTCATGAGTTTCAATTATCTTTCACAGAGTTGCTCTAAGCCGCATGCTTCTCTTTTATTGCTAACAACAGGGATCGTGCTTGCATTCCTCCCAGTGTTTTTCTCCCTTTCCCACCTCCACAGCGAACATTCTGCTCTCAGCTACACAGGTGCACGGCCCAGCACCGTGATACCCCATAAAACCAGCTCTAGCTGAGGTGCTCACAGACACGAGGGCTGAATTTATGAGACGCACGATGGGCCGTCCCCGCAGGGAGCAGGGCTGGCTCAGGGGGACAGATTAAGGGGCTCCTCGCCCGTATGTCACTGGGTCAAATTAAGTGCTGGCTCGGTGTCCCCACAGCACACTCCCTGCTAATAAACCTGGGCCAAATGTGAAAAATGATCCCAAGACCTTGAATCAACTTTTGTTGTAGGAGCAGTCTCATCAAGGCCGTGAATCTGCCAAAATCACCAAGACTATGTCAGCAAGGTCTCTGGTTCAATCTAGCGCTCGTAGTGGGTGGGTGTGCTTCTAGGCCAGGCAGCAAACCCACAGGCCAAATGCTTGCTGCGCCTGAGACTCAGTTCTGAATTTTATCACAGAGGCCAGAACCCCAAGGGCATAACTACTTTGTGTGTCTAACAGGAGGACAACTTGGCTTTGGCGTCGGGGCCCCCGGCAGTCACTCAACATCTCCCCTCTTCTCCGGCACACAGGGTCGCTATTTCCCCTTTTTGCACTGGTGTGAGGATGGAATGAGACGGTATGTGCACAGTCCTTAGCCTGCGGTAAACGTTCACTAGTTGCAGACACTAAGAGTACCAGGCATGGAAGTACTGGTTGTGTCTCAACTGGACTTTCTCTAAGCAGCTCTTACAGAAATTTCAAGCAGCCTGGATCAGAGTAAGATGAGGTAAGAAGACGATTTCCAGGCCCCTGCCTGGCTCTTGGGAGGACCTCTGTGTGATTCCATCTCCTTTAATGAACTCACCCTCCCCTTCCAGGCTCTGCTGCCCCTGCTGAGGGTTTCAGCTGTGCATCAGCTGAGCTGGAGACTTCTAGAAGCCTGCGAGTTGGGGATCTGCTTCCCATGCCCTGTTGGGAAGAAAAGCACCACAGTGGCCAGGCACAGAATACTGTCTGTGCACAGGACACAGATGACATTGCACACTGCACACATCGTCCTGGGGAGAGCAGACAGCCAAGTCCTAGACACCTTCCCTAGGAAAGCCCTGGATGTGTTCATAACTTGGAAGAAGAGAGACCTAAGAAGAGGGTCTGTCACATCGAGGAAGCATTAAAAAAATCAATTAGAAGGTAAAAGCACAAATGAAAAGAAAGAGATGTGCCAGCTCTCTCTGGCCCATTCCCTTCTCACGGATTTAAGAAACGATGTGACATGACCATCTGACACATGAAGGCATCCTTGGGCCTTAAGGCTCTGTGTGTGCCTGTATGAGGTTAGCCGTGGCAAATGCATATCTTTGTATCAAAGCCAGGCTGAATCCACAGGCACGTAGAGGATGGGGGTTCCCACTCCCTCCTGGAGGTGCAGCCCATGGCCCAGTTTATATTGTTTGTACATTGGCCTTTCTTTGGCCTTCTTCATCTAGCAGCAAAATGAACCGCAGAATCAAACAGGGGTTTTGACAGTCACTTACTCATCCCGATGGGTTGCCCGCATTGATTACACTTTCTGGAAACTTCTCAACTCTGACCTCCTCAAAGCAGGGGTAGATGGCTTCAACGAGAACATTTTTTGTGCACTGAAATCATAAAATTAAATACCACAAATGTTCACCAGAGGCCCGCTGTTTGCAAAGGATGTGCTGAGCTCAGCCGGTTGCAGGAAGAACTGGGCTCTGGAAACTCACCACGTGAAGGGGAGACAGACACACTGGGTCAAGGCCACCAAAGTGTTCAAACGTAAGATTTTAGGTGCATGGGAGGAAGACGCTGGTCTTTCAATTTGCTAGGCTGTCTTTACTTCTAGAACTGTCCTGCTAACCACGGAAATCCAACATCTTCCTTTACACGATGAAAATAATCAGTAATAAGAATAGAAAAGCATTTTATCTGAGCTAAACTGAAGACTAGCCCAGAAGCCAGCTTCCCAGATTACTCTGAAGCGCTGCTCAGGAGAAGCACGGCTTCCAGCACAGTTTTCTATCTTGTCAGAACAAAGAAACATTAACAAGGCGGGGGTACATTTTTTCAAAGGTTAAAAAAACAGAAAAGGCCCAGCCCATACGCGTACAGCATGTACAGCGTGGCCTTGGCTCCTGGGGTGGGGGTCTCATCAATAAAGAAGCACAGCCCTGGCGTCCCGGGAAGAGGGACATTTCATCTTTATTTTTAACATGAACATTCTTTACTTCTGGTCAGTGTGCTCCTTTCTTTAATAATTAAAGCAGATTTGCAGTGTGTGTTTGATAGGCCACAAACTGGCTATTTTAGTTAAAAGCATACAATTCAAGTTAACTCACGTATAAGCCAGAATGACTTCCGTACGTCGCAAGATGTGAAAATTCCTTTCATCACCAGCCACTGGCAACACTCGGACAACACTGGCTGCGTGAATGCTGCCTGGAGGGGAGAGTTGCTGGGTGTGGAAGGTAAGAGCGTTCCAGAAAGGAGAAACGGCTTCAGCCAAAACTCACAAGATTTGTCAGGGGATAGCAAATACCAAGTATACTGCAAGCCGGAGCCGGGGCGGGTGGTGGCGGGTCTTTAACAGAGATAAATGGGGAAGGTGGATAAGGTTCTGGAGGTTGGGGGCATATTAAAACCCACTTTGCAAATATGTCCTGGCAGAGCCGGTAAGGGTGACATCTTCCAGAATGCAGTTTAGAAGGAAGTCAGCCGAACCTCCCTGTATCTTCTTTTCTCTTTCTCGTGGCATTGAACCCAATGTTCCCTGAGCCACAGATGGATCTGAAACATGGAGAAGCCGAAACAACCACAGTGAAGCCACTGATTTCTAGAACCACATAAGTGGCAGTTGTTGGGGTCAATCTGTGGAAGAAAGGAAATGTTCCCACGCATATGCTTCACAGAAGATTCAGAGTACAGGCTTTGGAGCAAATGGGCCCGATTTCAAATTCAAACACTGCAACTTTCTACCCATGACCTTGGGCAAAGTACTTTTCCTTGCTGAGCCTCAATTTCCTCATTTTTAACTCAGCAAAAATAACTCCAGTCTCATTTGGCGGTTGTGAGGACAGAACGAAGCCATATGACCTTACCTGGCCCGTAATGAAGGTGTTCTGTTAATGTGAGCGCTCCTTCCCCTTCTTTCCGTTTGAAATCTGCTTTCATGCTGCATGCAATTAAAAGTTTATGATCTTCTAAAACTGATTTTCCAGTTTAGGGGCAGTAAATTGTAAGTCGCTGCTATTTTCCTGAAATGACATGCTTTAGATTGGAGTCTGTTGGATTTCTTTTCAAATGCATTAAATTCTATTTACTGCATTTCTGATACGACACCAGTGTGTCTGGGAAAAATGTACAATGGTGGGTTCTGACTATTCAAGCTGTCTGCGAGAATATTAACACCCTAGGCCTCTGTCCTCTCGCTGGCACCATGGACTCAGAGGGAGACGTTTCTTAACAAATGTCAGATACCTTTAACACCATGGTGCGCGTTGATTCCATTAGGCTGGCCTCGTAGAACCTTCCACAAACACTGAAACTGGCCCATTTTGGTTAAGTGGTGATGGGTGCTGTGTGAGTTTCCCCGGCCTGCCTGCCCCACTCCTGAGCGGGAGGGGCCCACTCTCTGAGCACCTCTGACTATGTCCATCAGCCACCAGCCTCCCCAAGGCCCTTGACACCCTCCCATTTACCTTAGGTCCTGACCTTGGGCCAGGAGGAAGAGAGAAGGCTACAGGGAAGCCCCACCTTCCTTAGACTGACTGGGAGGAGTCAGTCGAGCCAGAGCCCACGAGGGGAAGAAAAGCCCCGTCCCAGCCCTGTGCCCCTGACCCCAGCACCTGGCTGTGATCCCGGCCAGGCCAGATGTCCCTCACCTCTGAAAACTAGCTGTCTGGGCCTTTATTCTGGCCTTCATCTTTGTTGTATGGTAAAGCTTTACATTCAGTGTGAAAGCCACTTACTGTAGGGAAGTTGAGTAATCGCTGAGCACCTGTTCAGTTTAGTCTCTTTTTCCAAAGACTCAAATTAAGCCTGAGGAAGCTGACTTTTAACAATTGACTTCCTTTGCACAGCTGTCCTCAGACCCTTCCACCCTCTGAAGTCCCCGGTGTCCTTCCTTTGAAGGCCTGAGGGTGGCGCAGGGTCTACCACAGCCATTTAACTTGTGGGCACAAGAGAGAAATGAGCATAACCAGGCTTGAAGCAGCCAAACTGCAAAGCCTGCTAAGCAGGAGGAGAGAGAGACAGAGAAGCCCATCTGAGCAAACGAGAAATTCACCCTCAGGCTACGAGGATGCACAGCTCCCAAGCCGCGGGCTGGGGTGCATCTGGGCGAGGGGCAGGAGTGCAGGCCGATGTGCCGTTGTCTCATGGGCTGGTGCCTTCTGGAAGGCTTGTCTTTGTGGGCGAGGCGATTTCCCTGCACGTTTTCTGTTCCCTCAGCGGAGTGTGTGCCAGCAGAGGCAGGTGTCAGGTAGCAGGAAGGCGCAGGGGTGTGACCCTACCCCTCCTCCACCACATCCCAGGCTGAGGTGGACCCAGGCTGAGGAGAGAGGTCACGTCAGAGAGAGGAAAGAGTGTGGAGCAGATGGACTTGGAGGAAAGGAAACCCTGGGGACTTATACAAAAATCCGCTTTGGGGAAAAAGGCAAAAATGAAAGAAGTGCTTGCACAGGAATGGAGCTGACCCTCTGATGTCCTTGGGTGCGGCCTGGGCAACAAGAGGTTTAAAGTCTCCCTCAGGTGATTCAAATGTGCAGTCAAGCTTGGGAGCCATTAGCCTAGAAAGTAGTAAGTACTCAACAAATGTTTGTTCTCTCGCGGCCCAGCGATATAATTTGTGGGGTCCCCTGTTTGAAAAGTTTTCAGAATTTCAAGATGGTGACAGCAGGTGTTAAATCAAGCTCAGGACCCTTCTGAGTGAGAGCCAACCCTCGTTTTCTCCCTTCCTCTCGTTCCTACTGGAGCGATTCCCCACACTAAATTAGAAAGGAAAAGAAACCACACAGCGGGCAGAGGGAGCAAGAAAGGAGGCGACCCAAGGTGGTGCTGGTGGGGTCTCCTGGTGGCTGTGTCTACAGCAGTTTTCTCTAAGAGCCCGGGACCTCCACAGAGGAAAATGCCTTCGGTGGTGAGGCTCCGAGGGTGACACCAAGAGACCTTCCCCAAATCCAAGTGCAGGGCCCGTTCCCGGGTCCCCAGCCCTCCGCCTCAGCTCATGCACACCCACGTGTGGACACGCAAGACGCAGCACAGCACCAAAGCAAGACTCTCTGCGGGAAAAGTGTCACACGTGGGAGACAGTTTCTGTGATATCAAGACACAGGCCTCACAGGAAAGGTATGTAGCAATGAAAATAAATTTTACAACAAAAATGAGATGCACTGCATCTCTAGAGAGAAGCCAGGTGAGAATGATGACTGGAAAATTCACGCCCTTTGGGGTGGCCTCACTACGCTCACAGAGGTGGCTGGGGTGATGCTGTTCCCTTCAGCCTCTGCGGTGGGACCCTTGACCCCTTAATGCTGCTTTACTAGAATGGGAAGAAGCAGGACGGGAAGGGGCTTGAGGGGGAAGGATGTGTGTGCCTGTGTCTCCTCCTTAAAAATACAGCCCTGGCTCCTGGGGCTGGTGCCTCCCCCAGCCTGGAGCAGCGGTGATTTAGTGTGGGGTGCTTGCAGCCGCAAGTCACAGGCTCTGTGAAAGCAAAGGAAATGCGAGAATCTTGCTCAGAATTTATGGTTGTCTCATCCCCACCCCACTGTCTGGTCTGGGTCCTCAGGCGGTTCACACAAAGGGTTCAGTGACTTCGGCTCTGTCAACAGAATCCCAGAACGTCTGGGCCCGGCTGGTGGCTTGGGCCTGATCCTAGGCTGTCAACGGCAAAGTTGGAGGAAATCATTTGGGAAGAATCGGTTTTTAAAGCAAAACAAACAAAACAAAACAAAACAAAACAACAGGGACAATGAAAAATCTGGGCATTCCTCCTAGTTTCAAAATGACAAGAAGAAAGTACTTAGCTCTGAGGACACACCGTGGACATTTGATCCGCCGCGGGGACACACAACTTTGACCCTGTGCCTTCTGCCCTCCTGGGTCTGGCTTTCATCTCCAGCCCAGGCCGCTCAGGTTTGGAAGAGAACGCAACGAACAAAACTTCTTGCAGCCCTCGGACCTCAGCCCAGGAGTCGTACTCAGCCCTTCACTGCTTACTCAGACCACTCGCCAGCCCCTCTGAGGGCCGGTCTGCCTTTGTAAGCTGGGATGTTCCAAGGGTCGTTCCACGAGCTAGATGAGAGGTGCACCCACATCGGCACTTCCTGGGGGCACAGGGAGTGAACTCAATCAGTATCAGCTCTTTGGGTATCTGGGTGTCATCCTACAGAAACCCTGTGAGGCCAGGACTGTTACTCTTCCCATTTGAAAACGAGAAAAGTATGACTTAAGAGAGGTTAAATAACTTAAATCAGTCAGTGGAAGCTCTGTAATCAGATTCCAGGTCCGCCCAAGCCTTGGAGCACACCACGTGCCTCCGCCAGCACGCTGGATCCACCAACTATGATTTCTACCCCAGGTTCAGCCTACCCAGTTCCAAGGCTGTGTGCCTACACCTGGCGATATAAGGACTCTCAAAGGCAAGATGGAAGAAGGAAGATGGAATAGAAAAAAAAAAGAAAGACAAATATCTTAAGGGAATCATCTCACTAACTGGAAAAAACAAAAAAGAAGTGGGGGTGGGGCGGGGTAATTTTGCTCTCAGGGCGGTGGGCGCCTTGGTGAGGACGTGGCAGTGAGTGTAGCCAGTTTGAGGAGCTGTCATCAGAGGGCCTTCCAGGACGGGCTCTGGACTCCAAGGCCAGAGCTGAGCCGACCGGGTTGGCTGCCACCGCCTTCCCACTTCCCACAAAGGCAGGCCCTAAATTCTTTCCTTGGCCTGGGAGGCAGAAATAACAGAGTCCGGGCAGAAAGGCCATGTGTGGGCTTCCATGCGGGCTCTCAACCATCCCAGGCCAGGAAAGGAGAGGGGGCCAGGCATCGTCAAGTGCGTGCGTGCAGCGCAGGGCTGATCGCCAGCAGCCAGGACGGCGGCCGAGCCGAAGGGGCTGGGCCACAGCACAGCGGCTCAGAGAATGATGGAGTGGCCTTTAATTGTTTCTACTCCGGAACCTGGGAAGTGTTGGCAACAAAACGAGAATAGAGAGGCTGCTGGCAGCCGAGTGACAGGCTGGAGAGGAAGCCTCCAGCCATCTAAATGGTTAAGTGGCCGGTTTGCCAAGGCTGCTGAGTGAAGTGTGACCTCACCACGGGGCAGATTAAAATATGCATTTTCTCCTAATTGAGCATAGTGAAATCAGCCGGCGGTCCTGTCACAAGCGCAGGAATGAATTGTCACAGCACGAAACACACTACTCAACAGAGCATCTATTATACGGGGGAAGAAAGAGCCGCATAAACTTCCTTCACATTGGGAT